TGTTTTGGTTTCAACTGGTTTAATTTCATAAAAAAACTATTCTTTAAGGAACCTTTGATTAACTGATAATCAGTCGATCAAAAATAATGAACAGATAAATTTATTTCCAAAGTAATCGTCAGTTGCAGCCCTAAAATGTTTGCCAAGCTTCACTAAGCTAACTGCTGGCTCTTATTACGTGTTCACACATACATCGTTGTCTACTAATCTCTCTTCGCTGTTTTTGCTGAAAAAACTAGAAAACCCAGACAAATTGTTTCACCTTAATATCTGTACTCACAGAAAAAAATTTGAGAATCCTAATAGTGATCCGGAGGTGCACCTTAAGTAAGTACAAGAGTTAAAATAGGTGAATAACTTTTTGCGAGGCAGATCTTTTAGTTATCAGACTACTTTCGTTTGGAACTAGCTCTCTGTTTAAGTCCATGAAGCAGACCATGTGTGCTTTTAACATTCCTTTCTGATAAAGCTCAGAGTAGCTTAGGTTATCTTCACTCATTTCTGTAGTTCTACTGCTAAAGGCTAAGACTGCTGGAAGACATAGAGACCATTTTTCCTCATGCTCCTACCTTCTACTACTCTTCAATTCTGCATAATGTACGTTGTTTCCTCTTTTAACTGTGTTTTCTCTGCGGTAATTCTATCTGGTCTGTCATTCTGAGACATTTTCCTGGGGGCAGGCTATAAACTGAGCTATGGTGATACTAACTAGATGTTTCTGAATGGATGACATCAAAGAGGCCATCTCATGGAACTAGCTACACTTTATGTACAAACCACATACTACACTTTTATGCACATATTTTTTTCTACTGAGAATGTTTAATATCTCTCTGTATTAGGGATGGGATTTCGGTGTAACAATCAACATATACCGAATCGAACCGAAAACAGTGACCACGAAACCGTGAATTGAACCGAACCGTGGATTTTGTGAACCGTTCCACCCCTACCCTGTATATAAATTGACAATAAACGTTGTCAAAGTCAAATCTTGTAAAAGTGTCAATTTTGTTATGAAAGTGTGTCCTCCAATTATTTTGCCGCAATTGGTGTTCCGTATCCTCTAAGTGTTTCTTTCAGTTCAATGTAGTTTATATCTATAGCGCCAATTCACAACACATGTCATCTCAAGGCTCTTTACAGATCATACAGTCTAAGTAAATCCAGTTGATTGCATCAACTCATTGACTCTTCAGCAATCCCTCACACTAAGCATGCTTGTAGCGACAGTGGAGAGGAAAAACTCCCTTTGAACAGGAAGAAACCTCCAGCAGAACCAGGCTCAGTGTGAGCGGCCATCTGCTGAGGCAGTTTCATCTTCTAGACTTCAACAGTCTCAGAGCTGATCTGCTTGGCTCCTAAATGAAAGCACTAAAGGGAACGTCTACTCCCACCAACTTTTCTTCCAAATAAAGTTCTGGCAAGTCAATGCTGCAGTGTTTGTTTTGTGGGTCTTCAACTCCAAGTCGGTTTTGGGATAAACCTGCTTACACTGAGCCTGGCTCTGCTGGACATTTCTTTCTGTAAAAAAAATGAGTTTTCCTCTCTACTATCGCTGCATGCATGCTGGGTGTGAGGGGTGCTGCAAATTCTACGACATAATGCCAGTTTGCTGTTCAGCAGCCATTTATGCTCAACCAGGAGAATTGAATGCTGCAACAAAATGACTTGATAAGATCAGCTGGGTTTTCTGCAGCCCCCAATGTGACTAAATTATAACAATTCTGCAAAGATGAATGGGAAGGCATGTCACAGTAATCAAATTATTAGCGAATAACTAATAAATGCTCAAAAATGTATGCTAGCATGCTTTTTAGTATGTTGTTCTTGTTTCTTGTTTTCTTTTACCAAAGAGACTGGAAGACAAAAGGTTTGCTTCCAGTGTATTGTTCCCCACTCCCCCCTCCCCTTCTAATTTCTTTACTGTAGCGAGGAGTGAACTCGTGGCCCAGGTACTTCCAATACACATTCCCTATCAGTACCTAAGAGTGTAGAGAGCACCATTGCATGCATAAGAAACTGTAGTTGAGATTTGGAAGAAAAGATATTGAATTGGTTCCAGAGGCGAACGTGAGAGCCGGTGTGTGGGAGCCCTTTAGATGTGAGCGACTGACTGGTTAAACATTTAATCTTTTGGAGTTGGTATATCTAATTTGTTATTAAATAGTGGGAGCTGAAGGCTGCAATACCACAAACATGCATCCGCACCTAAAACGTGATAATTCAATACATTTTCTGAGCTGGGAAGAAAATTAAAAAAAAAGACAACTGACCAGTTTATCTTCCTGACAAACATCGTTCCATAGATGATGTAACTGACACACGAAATAAACAAGCAAAAGGGCTGTTTGATTTTTTTTTTCCATTCACATTATACCAATGAAAATTTGTGTCTAAACAACAATATTATAATTTATCGTGATAATTTCTCCGACAATTTATTGTCCAGGAAAATTTTGGTAAAAGTCAAAATTAAGGGGCAATGGCTTTGTTAGACAGGGTCTGCCAAAGCCATTGCCCCATTGGTTTGATTTTGTTTCTAATAAAACCTTAATTTAAAAGGTTTGAGGACCCAAATGCAGAGGCAGGTAGGCAGAGGTGAGTTTTTTGTAGATTTAAAAGAGGTTCAAAAACAACTGAGGCAGGAATCCAAAAATCCAACATGAAAAAGTAAAACCAACCAGAACCATGGAGACATCAGGGGAAAACCATAACAAAGTAAGACGAGGTATGACAAGGAACCAGCACTGAGGAACTGCAAAAAGAGAGTATTTATGGGAGATGAACAAAGAGGAGTAACGAACTGACTGGGAGCAGGTGTGAGGAGAGCAGTCTAGAAAGGAGCTAGGGAAACAGGAGACCAACACAAGAGGGCAACAAATAAAAACCTAAGAACTGAAATATAACCAGAAAACACAACAAAATAGGAATCAAACCAATAAAACTAGAAAACATTGATCAAAGTAAAACTAAATACTCAAAAGAAAACATAACAGAACCAAGACTGTGACACTTCCATTATTCTGGACTAATAATTAAATTGCCTGATATTTAGAAGGACTTAAATGTGGAAAAACATGCAAACAAAAAGAAGAGAAAAGGGCAAACACGGTTTCAATAAACTGAATCAAACTGAATGGAGGCTTATGCAGGAAAGTTTCGGCTCAATAAAGGCACGGATTGGGTCAGGGATGACATCACTAGTCACAGCACAGACATCATAACATCTACCTGCCCAATGGTTGAATGCTACGGCCTAATGTATATAAACCCACTGTAGCAAGCTAGCATTTTGTAGTTAGCATTCCCTCAATCATCCTCTGGCTCGTACTCTTTGGAGATACCGCTCCACGGCTTCCCAATCTGTCCTGGCATTTCCCAGAATGCATCACACTGCCACCTTCTCTGATTATTCCTTCATTTAGATTCCAGCTACTGCTTACAGCAGTTCAGGTGTGAACCACTCTCATTCAGAATACAACCTCAATCCTGAGGTTGGTGGATTTCTGATCATGATATTCAGTTTTATTTTAGAAATATATGCTCATTGAAATAAACCCACTGAAAAGAAGTTCAGCCGTATCAGAAAGCAGACCAAAGTGTGAAAAATATTGCCGACCTGAGAGGAGCAGATCACAGCTGATGGGCCCTGAAGGTTCTGTTCTTACTGTCTGTCACTCTAAACCAAATGATGCAAACCGAAAAAAACATAACTGTGCGTCAACACTGTCTTTTTTTTTTTTTTGCTCTTTGCTTCATTTTGCAGATAAATGTTCAGAAAGAAAAAACAAATTAGCACAACTTATCCCTATATAATTTAAGCGTTAACCAAGCAGCTCAACATTTCAATAAATTATATTTCTTAAATAAAAGAATGTAACCTTAGGAAGCACCGCTGGGACAAAAGAAGCCGATTCTGATATCATTACTAACTTCTACCCATATGTTATATTTCCCTGCCATTTCAGCAATGTTAAAGAGCAAATGCTTCACTAAAGAACCACAGTACTGTACTGCTTAAACATTATGGTCACATGACCAAACAAACAGCATATGGTTTTCAGAAACTGGTGCATAAACGGTTATTTATTCCTGCCTAGTTTTACTCATCAGGCCAACACTGCAATTGGATATTTGGTCAAAGTCGCATCAATGGGGAAATATTAGGAAATAGTTTAATAATAAGGGGGATTGGCGGCCTAGTGGTTAGGGCATAGGGCTTGGAATCCTTGTGAGTTTGAAACCCACTCCCACAGACTGCCACTCTGGGTCCTTAAGCAAAGACCCTTAACCCATGATTACTCCCCGAGCGCCGCACAGTGGCAGCCCACTGCTTCCCAAGGGGATGGGTTAAATGCAGGGAGATCATTTCTCCATGGTGAAATCAATAAAGTTCAATTTATTATTACTTATAACACCGTGTAACAATACAGTGTAGGGAGGGAGGAAAATTAACGTGTATCGAGTACTTATATTGAAAAGGAACAAATATTCTTTTTTTTTAATACTTTGTGAAAAGAGGTGATAAATTCAGCAGGAAAAACAATCAACTTTTGGGCTGTGGTTCACCAATGACCATTCAGTCAGCATGGTACAACATCGAAGTGTTTTCATGTATAATTTCCATAGATGAGGAGTATGTGGATAGTAGCTTTACACCACTCTAAGTCTCTTTTGTGTTGATATGAACATGGATTTTAAAGGAAGTCTGATATTCAAAATGGGAACCAATCAGAAAAAGAGCCTCTCTATCTCTCTCAGATACAAACCAGGTACAGCAAAGCTGTTGTGATTGGATCCAGGTCAGTCCACCCACCACAGCCCTGTCAAACACAGACCACCATACATTAACACTGCTCAGCCTGAGCTAGCTGCCCACTTCCACTGCAACATTCACACACCAGGCGGATTTAAAGATGGCAGCAGAGCAGCACAGAACCGAGACCGAAGGAGACAAAAGCCAACATGGTGTTTGTGCGACTTGTGTGTGTACTAACTTTTGTTTTTACGAAGCAGAGCTGAAGTGATCCAAGGCTCCGATTGGACCATCCTGCAAGAAGGTACAGTCTTGTCGTCCACTGATGATGACGTGACAACCATGGGAGAGCTTGGCAAAGGTTCGGTCCAGACGAGAAATAGTGTCAATGGAAATGCTCTGACGGAGGGGCAGAGCTTGTGGGGGGTGTGGGGTGGAGGAAGGTTTCCAAGCCCAGAGTTCACTTCAACACTTTACATCCAACTAAACATTTCAAGTCTGAAACGGTGGGAAACGATCCGACCAGTCCAAAGGCACCTTCTTCTCTTTCTCCCTCTCCCAGTTTGTGTGTGACGTCTTTCTAAGGCAACCAACAGGTGTACAGGCAGCTTGTCTCTCTGAAGTAAAAATATAAAAGATGTAATCTCTGTTTTATGTGGATTTACACTATAGATATAGATCTCTCACTCTACATATATATTGTTTCTCTGTGGATTTGGGAACTATAGGGAAATAAAATATTTGGCTTGTAAGTTTAGCTTTTTGTGGTGAACTTGGCAGTTTCATGCATTCTGTCTGTGGGTGGGAGCTTCCATGTCGCTGGTGTCTTATCTTTTAGATAGTCAAAAGAATAAAAAAGCAACCTTTTTAGGGTGGTAAAAGTTTGACCAAACAATAAATAAAGGCATAGATTCTAGTTGCTGATATGTTCACTCAGTCCAGGGTAGATTCCCAATCCAGAGCAGGTTTACTGAGTCCACTGAGCCTAAAGGAGAAGATCCTTTGAATTTCTAAGGCTACATGGTCAGTATGGTTTCCAGAAAAAAAATGAAAAAAAGACCAGATGGGATCAATCTTTTTTTACTCCTCTTTGAAGATTCTAGGTTCTTTAGCTCTAGGTTGTGTTGGTGCTATCCAGGCTTGCCCTGCATTTTGCCAAACGGGCTGAGTGGGCAAGTGCAATAGCTTTTGGAAAAGAAAAGGGTAAGGGGGGAGTCAGATTTCCTGCTGCCTGCTTTTACCCCATCCCTAACACTAAAAATAGCTCTGATACTGGGACTTTCTGGGAGACTGCTTGCTTGGATTAATCCGAAGACCCAAATGAATCCACGAAGCTCCGTGTGGGTGTGTGGGTGGGTGTCCACTCACTCAGCTTTCATTCACACATTCAAACCCTGCGCCGGGAGCACAAACCCCGCTGCTGAAGCGATCCCCGGATGTTCTCTGTGAGCGACGCTTGCATAAACCCATGTAAACAAAACCCAATCCGATGCAAGTTGTTGCTACCAGCGTGGAAAGAGTTCCCCTCGCTTCCACGGTCACGAACCTCGTGAAAAAAACAGTCTGCCGCTCGCGATAGTCCAGTTCCTGGGTGTGGAAGCCCAGCAGAGTCTGCTGGGATGAGCCGAGCCCCAAACTCCGCCGCAGTTTTCAAAAATCAGCCGAACATCAAACAAAGTCACGATCTGAGGTAATCATCAGCACGTTAATCCACGCAGAAACAGCAGAGCTGCCTTCAGGGAAACAAAAGAAACCAAATCCAGACTTCCTGAGCTCGCTGCTCCGGGATGAAGCTCCTCCGATCCGGAGGCGGTCACTTTATTCCCTCCGGGTGGAAACCATCACAGGGCGGTCAGGAGTCATGCTTCTCGCCCGTTTCCCATACCCTGCTCCGCCGTAGACGGAATCTGTGCTGCTCTGCCATCCGGCTCCCCCACCCTGCAAAGGGACCGTACCACTCCCCCGCAGTGGGGGTCGGAGCGCCGTCAGATGAAGCAGCGTTTGGGGAAGTCATGACTTCCCGATAAGCAGGCGGAGGAATGACACGTTAGACGATGAACAGAAATGATTAAACTAAAAACAAGTAAAATGTAACCGCGGAGAAATAAAGCGGCATCATGAGCGCAGCTAACGGGAGGTATGGGCCCCTCTGGCTGCGGTAGTCCGCTCCAAGCAAACCTCTCCCGTTCTCTCCATTTATAGTAACAGCGGGATAAATATACTGGAACTTTATATACAAGCATGTAGGAGCTCTGTCCTCCTCACGCTCAACAACCAGCAATCTGGGAAGAGGACAGTTAGACGTTAGGCTGATTAGGTCTGAATTTAGACTTTTCCTGCAATCTCTGGGAAAAGAGAGAAAATATATTTTAAAGTTTTGGATGAAAGGTTTGTTGTGGTCTCTGCTGTGTAAAACTCCCCCCATAAGTCAGACACCTGAGACAGTTTTTTAAATGTTTTTCCAATTCAAAAGGAACAATGTGAGACAAAACGGACAACAAAAGAAAGCGCGCATGTGACAATGTTTCACTTTGTTCAGAGGACATTGAACTTCCCTGTACTCGGTTAGATACAGCCTCTACCTTCAATCACCACGCATCCTCCCTCGGCCCTGTTGCTACCCGGCGCCAAGGCAACTCCCACCCTATTGGCTGCGGAAAGTCCCGTCCCTCACTGTGATTGGGTGATGACCAGGTCTGTGGGCGGAGCTCTCAGCTCAGTTTCCCCCATGTCTGCTTTAACGGCGCGAGTCAGGAGCGACGCGGAAATAGTTTGAAGATATCAGGTAGAAATGGAGACGGAGGGGGGGCTCCTCTTTAGTGACTCTACAGCTCAGATGTTTGACTTCTCCTCACCAACCAGCCAAAGCTAGATGTTACTGTTGCTATCCGAGCTCTCCATCTAAATCAGGCCCAATGCTGCCTGGGAACAGCTCAGCGGTGTCATCAACCAGCTGACAGCCGCCTAGAGCTAAACTCACCCTGGACTGCAGCTCAGCCTGCACCCGCCAACAAACACCTGCCACCTAATATCCAGGCTATTTATGTTCATGGAATAATAAGGAAAGTCAATTTATGGAACTTTACTGAAAATACTGCATATGACTGCTGAGCCAATAAAGAGCAGGCTGTTTACATCCTGCTAATAGGGGTTTAACTGTTAAAAAGGATTGTAATTTTTTTAGCTGTGGCATAGAAATATTTAGTTTAATGCCACATTTATATTTTTTCACAGTAATATATTACTTACTGTAATAATAAGCCAGTTTATGGAACTTTACTGAAAATACTGCGTATAACTGCTGAGCCATTAAAGAGCTGGCTGTAAAGATCCACCTAATAAGTGTTTATTTTAACTGTTAAAGATTAATGTAAATGTTTTAGCTGGGGTATAGAAATGCCACATGTTTATTTTTTTTTTTACATTAAGTTAAACATAAAGGAGAAGTATGTTACTATACATCATTAAACTATACAATGGAAAGTCTGGTGTTCAAAGAACAAGAACAAAAAAATTAAAAGGTTAAGAGATCTGTGGTTTATCAGTAAATACAATTAAAACCAGATACAAGCATCCCTGGGAATAAAATCTGTAAAGATAGAAAACTTTTTTGAATAATTTTATTTTTCACAACCAATAAAAAGTAGTTCTTAAACTAAGACTAATTCACTGCAAGCAACTGATAGTTTTTAGAAAGTCTATTTTTATGGGGGGGTATATCAGAGACGTTTAAGTGAATAATTTAAGAGGACGGATGTGGTTTAGACTTCATAAGAAATTTCTTTTTTTCTTTTTAAAGTATATTATTAAACTTCTTTTGTCCATTAGAATGACATTCTTCAGGACACTAGCTGGTTAATGAAAATAGGGGTCAGCTCCACTCCTAGTCAACTTGTTTGAATGAGAAGAGGCATTTGAATAATCCAACTCCCCACTACATAAACCAAATGCTACGTTCAGACCGCACGCTGCAGAAGCAGCTAGCTTACATGCAAAGTCTATGGTTGCCGCGGCTCAAGACGCATCAAAAGGTCTTGCAGAGCGGTTTGAGCAGCCGAAGCAGCACCTTACGAGCTTCTGAGCATCTGACACGCAATGCACTGCAAAGCATCAGCTGCTGGAGTTGGAAAAATTTAGGTTTTTCTGCTCGATACGCCACATCAACCAATCAGAGAGAAGCTCCGCCTCACTACGTTGCTGTTTTTTCAGACGGGAGGGAAAGACCGAGAAAACCCGGGAATTCTTCAACAATAGAAGAGAGATTGATCATCGCTGTTTGCTCTCTTTGGGTTATTTCTGTTATCAGTATAGAGACAGGAGCAGGAAGGACCCTGACTGGAGGAGGATTAACGAGGAATTCTGGCTCTCTGGTAACTTAGCCAGGCTTCTATGATGGTAAACATAACACTGTCGATCTACTGCTGCTCAATAAATGTGTTTATTTAGAGGATGTATGCAGGAAGTGGTGGAAGGAAAGGGTAGCTCTGCCCAACGCGCATCAGAACCACTTTTTGACCATGTAGCTAGTTCAGCCGCGCGTCAGAACTAAACTTGTACAAACATCAAAAATGAAGCAGCACACACCTTTTTGCTGCTTCTGCTGCGTGCGGTCTGAACGTAGCATTATTGTCTTACCTCTACCAAGGAGGTAAGCTGATTGTTTGATTTGTAGAATAGCAAGATTACAAAAATAGTCATGAAAGGTTTCTCTGAAATGTTTACCACAGGGGTTTACTATTGTCAGATAATAAAAACTAGCTGCTTGGTGGGTATCTGCGCTCTCTGAGTACTTTCTAATTTGTTCTGTTTGTGTGTATGTTACTGATGAGAGGGTATTCACAGGAAACTACAGAGGGTTTCCCCCCCGAAAGGTAACTTCAGTCTCTGATTCAGAAACTGCTTTCAAAGAAACCACAGGACTGGAATGACAAATAAACAAAGACAGCAAAGGATTGATCAAGAAAAATGCCAGCTTAGATTTAAAGGTTTTGCATAGTTAAACATTCCCTCATACAGGCTGTCATGAGCGATGCATGGAAACACAGAGGCACCTCCAAACGTCAGGCTTCCTCCATGTAAACCTGCAGCATAAATCATCCATAGTTTGCTCTATTTATCCTCAAAAGGTTTCTGCTTTAGCAGTGAAAAAAAAAATTATTTAATCTGTAAAATATCTAATTTCATGTTTGTTACTTATTTTGGTTTCCTTTTATGAAAAGTAAAAAAAAAAAAAAAAATATGTAAATAAAAATTCAATAGCTTCTGCCTTTTTGGGGGAATGCTTCCATAAAATGCTGTTCTTCAATTACTGAATAAAGTTTAGTATTTCCCTTCACGGATTTACTGATTGGCTTCTATTAAATCACATTCAACTGTACTAATGGCCAGACAGTGGAGATTACAACGCTAGTTGGAGGAGGCAAGCAGACTCTGAGACTCACGTGCCTTGCAGCAAAATTCCACCCGGCAACTACACACTGTACCATGGCAACAGCCCTGCCATTGGTCCCCCGTGCGTTTTCAAATGACCAATAGAATGGCCAGCCGCGGGTGATGCTTGTTGCTAGGTAAACATGATGCAGAGGAAAGATAGAGCAGAATTACCATGCAACTACTGCAGGGTGCTTTCAGCAAGAAGTGGAGGAACACTTTACACGCGGAGATAACCTTCTCCTTCTCAGCACTTGGTGGAGCCACAGAGCCGAAAGCAAGAGCAAAGAATGACACAGGCAAATGGAATTAAAACAAGACTGGGCAATTGATGGTGACAGTTGTGCTGCCAGCAGAAAGTTACCTTCACAATTTAAAGGAAACATTTTTACTAATGCACACACACATTATATATGGTGTATGTGTGTTAAAAAAAAAAAAAAAAAAGTGCATTCAAAGGGGGGAGTTCACACATTGCTGATTTTTGAATCTCCCTAGGAACAAAAGTGAACTTGGCAACCTGGGTGATAAAAAAAGATTAAACAAATATTTCAATTTTGAATTAAAGAAAACAGGACATCCTCCTAAAATAATTAGTTTCACCTCATTTTGTTAAAACTCAGAAAACATTAGTGAGAGAATTCCCTTTTCTGTCGACCAGTTTCTGACAGCGAAGCTTCTCTTCCTCCCTTTTTAAGATGTTGTGTCACAAGCAGCCTTTTTAAACAGTCACATAGCAGGCAGGCAGCAACAGTCGGAGAGTCTGGAACTGAACCCGAAGGCTACTTCCAGAACCAATCCTCCATGAACGGGTCATCCGACCTGCTGCCCGCACAACACCTCCTCTGGGAGCTGCAGTGGATTCATTTTAAAAAGTTTATATTATTCTTTATTATTATATTATTTTTATTTCTTACCAAAACATCAATATAGATAAATGGGAATATAAATGAATTTGAATAACTTCTGGCAAAGTGGGTCAAGATTACATCATTTAAATTACATTTTTAAGGTGAAAATGTAAATTTCTACAAACAACTGAAAAACTGACTTGATGGGAAAAAACAAAACTTTGATAACAGTGTTATGGAAAGCGTAGTTATTGTGTTTGTTTATTTTTTCAGGTTGTACTCAGACCAAAAAAGTTCAAAAGATTTGTTTCCAAGTTTGAAGACATTTCGCTTCCCATCCTGGAAGCCTTTTCACTTCAAAAAGTCAGAATTAGCGTCGGAGTTTGAAGCTTTATATAGTAGCCCAAAACTAGTTTTGGCTTAGAATGCACCCCCCTTCCAGAGCCATAGACCAGTATCAGGTATTGCAGGCTAACAAAAAAAAAAACTACTACTTCTGGTCCCATTTAGGGGCAAATATAGCCGCCATTGGTAGAGGCAAAGAAAGGATAGTTTAGCTCCATCCAACGTGCATCAGACCTACATTTCGAACGCTCAGCCAGAGCAGCAAAGATGCTTCGGCCGCGCGTCAGAACTAAACTGGAACAAGCATCAAAAATGAAGCAACATGGGTGTTTCCGCTGCTTCTGCTGCGTTCAGTCTGAACGTAGCATTAGAAGTGAGTTTTTT